GGCGCAGGCCCCCCCCCCGTGGCGGGCGCAAACGGCGGCTCCTGCCTGTTGTCTTTGCAGAGCGCCAAGATGGAGTACGAGTGGAAACCTGACGAGCAGGGGCTCCAGCAGATCCTACAGCTGCTCAAGGAGTCGCAGTCCCCGGACACTACAACGCAGAGAGCCGTGCAACAAGTATCCTGCAAAAGAGAACCGGGCAGGGCGGGCGGGCCGGCCCCGGAGATAGCAAGGCCCAGCGGCTGGGTCGGTTTGCCGCATGACTCCGAGCCCGGAGGAGGAGGAGGAGGAAGCGCTTAAGGCAGCGGCCCGCTCAGCTTTGTCGTTTAGGGAGCAGGGAGGGGGTTTTGCCGCGCGCGACGCCCTGGAGAGGATGACGCCTCCGGGCCTCCGCTAAGGTGGCCGACCGTAGCGGTGAGCCAGGCCCAGCCCCCGCCTGGCCTGGCGCGGGCTTTGAATCGCGAAGGGAGCCTGTAGGCGGCGGCGTCCGTTCTGCTCCGCTCCTGCCTCCCCCTCCCTGCGCCCAGGCCCGGCACCTGTTGCAAGCCTGGCGCCAAACCCCGTTTTTCTTTTCAAAGCTTGGCCCGCCTTTAGCAGCTCCGGTGTCGGTCCTTTTCCCAGGCTCGCTCTCGGCCCCTGTCTCTTGGCCTGTGTCTCGGGCTGGTCTTGTGGAGCGGCAGATCCGACCATCTGTGCCATTAAATTCCTTTCGGAAAATTCCAACCGGCTCCTTTTCTCTCGAATGATCCTTGTCGATAATTTAGAAACCCGGCAGAATAAGTCTTTGTACCTTTAGGTGCCTCTTTCCGTTGGGACGTTTTAATGTACAGGAAGCTGATCATTCTTGGCCACCTAAGGAGCTTCTTGTTGGCCTGTAATTTCATAGTGGATCACCTTCAGGAGAAGGAAAATAATAAGATACGAATTTTATAGATTTTTAATTCTTTGTTTTCCTTTTGGTGCATTGACTCTTTGAAGGCGGTAGAGAAGTGATTAAAGTGTTAAGTTTCTGTATAAGGGAAATAGTTGTAAACTACACATAGTGTTTTATCATTGATAAGCACTAAAAGTATTCAAATCAATGATGCTTACTGTTATTTTTTTTCAGACATGCAATTTTTATATGTGGGTGCATGCTGTAGTGAGTGTGCCTGTGTATGCAGAATTTTAGGATCTAAAATAAATGTTTTTACTTATCCCTGGGGTACAGATTTGGGTACAAACTAGATGTAAATGCCTCTTCTATATCAGTAATTATACCTTTGGTGCATTGTTTGTGCATGCATTTTTTTTAAGGCAGGTAGTTTAATTTTAAAAAGAATTAATGCTAAGTAGGGCATCTTTGGATTTTCAGTTATCAAACTCTGTTTTACTCCTGCTAAATGAAATTACATTTGAATAATCTCACATCCTAAAGAAGTAGTTTAAAATGAAATGTACATTTACATTACATTTGAATGTAAATATGAGATAGTGAATTGGCAGGAAAATTCAAAACAAACAAAGGAAGTATAAAAAATACCTTGTAGTCAGGCTCCCATATTGTTTGGTACAACTATTAGCCATTTTTCCTTCTCTGGTGT